ATCTGCCAAACGCCTTTGTCACCGGGTCTAACACGGCAACCTGCCGAACTTCCAGGGCTCGAAAATCTTGGCAAGTTTGAGTCAATATTGAAACAGCTTGAAACAATATTGGTTCATTAATGGGCAAAGGTTGCCCGGTCGCAGGGCGGGAATCGAGCCCTGGACCACGGTGGTGCAGAGACAGCGCTCCAACCACTGAGACAAGGGAGCTGCTTGCTTGTCACCGGGGCGCTTTTGGGCCCGCCGAGGTGTCCCACGGTCCGTGTCGGCCCGTGACACAAGCTTTCGTAATCCTCGGTCTAAAAGCGAGGCCGGCTCCGCGGCTTCGGTCTGAAAGCGAGGCCGGCTCCGCGGCTTCGGTCTGAATTCCGACTTCGCTCCAAGCTTCCGATTTTGCTCGAAAAACCCTGGCGCGGGCCTGGCGCGGGCCCGGGCCTGGTGCGGGCAATCCTGCGCCGAGCACAGGATTGCCCCACTCAATACTGCGTCGGGCGCAGGATTGCTCCACCCATTCCTGCGCTGACAACAGGATTGCCCCGCTGCAGCACCAGCAGCAGCTCGGGCTTGGAACTGTTCAATGGAGTCGGCCCTGCTGTAGAGCTCCCACGCCTCAGATGCTCAGGACGAAGGGCAGACCGCTCGCGAAGAGCGCGTTTCGGAGCGGTCATGTCATGCCACCGCCCCTTCGTGCCGTAGTAGTTCATGGTGCGACCGGGGAAGATGTAGGGAGGGTCGGCATAGATGCATTGTCGGGGCGCCTGGCAGAGCGCGCAGACAGGCCAGTGCGTCCTGGTGCCGCACGGTCACATTTGTCGGTGGCCGTTGCAGACGCCGCACGCTGCTCAGTGCCAGTGGCCGCTGCTGTGCGAAGGAGCCCCACTTTCCCGAGAAGCTGTTGCGCAGCAGGGTGTATGAGCAGGCAGCCCGACGCCCGGCAGGAGGCCTGAAGTAGAAGCGCCTGTCCACCTTGCGGCAAGGAGCGCAGGAAGACGGCGCAGGCTTGCGACGGGCTCGTCGCCCAGCAGCCGGTCCAGGTGTGGAGCCAGCCACGCCTTGCTTCCCATGTGTTTCAGACGCACGCCGGCCTTTAGTTTTATCCCAGAATTCTGGCAGCGATGCTGTAAATACCGCATCACACCCGGTCTCGCCCCTGGTGCCATGCACGGGCATCTTCCTCGGGCCTTCCAAATCGGGTAAGACCGTGGCTCTGATCAGCATGAGCAGTATCGCGGCGTCTTTGAGAAAATCTACATCTTCAGCCCTTCCATCAACATAGACGACAGCTGGATCCCCGTCAAGAAGTACATCGAGGAGGACCTGGGGGTGAACACGGAGCGCGAGCAGGCCTACTACGACGAGTGGGACGAGGCGGCGCTGCGGAGCATCATCCAGAGGCAGCGCAAGACGTCCAAGAAGTTGGAGATGAAGAAACTGTACCAGGTGCTGATTATCCTAGACGACTACGCAGATAGCCCGCAGCTCCAAGGCCCACGGCGCCCTTGACACGCTCTTCATCCGAGGCCGGCACATGCAAATCAGCACCTGGGTGAGCTCCCAGAAGCTGAGGCTGCAGCGTGGTCCTGGCCACGCACACCGCGGGCGCAGCGAGCGTGGACGGCTACACCCTGACCCTGCAGTGAACCCGTGGAACATTGTGCGCACCTACAACCTGACGCCCGGCCGAGAGCTCCTCTTCGCCTGCCGGCACCGGCTCGGCACGGCCTCCAACTTCCTGGTGTACATGTCCGAGGCCGACAACGTCTACGACCCCTTGTACGGCAGCTTCGTGGGTGACCAGGGCGCCTGGAGCACGGCCAAGATGTACTTCACCGTGCCTCCTGCACATTGGGGCGCGCTTCCAGGCGCCGGGCCTGCCCAACCAGACGGCAGGAACGGTGGACGTCTACGGGCTGCAGATCCTGGACGCAACCCTGGAGGTCGGCAACACGGAGGAGGAGGAGGACACG